CAGCTTGTAACAGAACTTTACTTTTTAGTGATAACTATTAATCTGAACAGAAAGTGAAGAAATCAGTTTATGATCTTTTAAACAACTTGAGGGCAGCAAACACTTACTCTCTAAAAACTACTTAACACCATAGAATTTATTTTAGAGCTGGTGTTACAGCATTCAAGAAGCACCATCAGCTAAAGTAGCAGAAATACAACTGACTGAGCTACTGTTTAACAAACTACCTAATCTATCTCACCCCTTCACTGATGAATTCAATCCAGGTGCAATCCTGGGGGATAATTTGAAAGGAATCACAGAAAAAATCCTAAAATAAGTTCAATTCTTGCGAAGGTGGTGCAAGTCACATATCTACCAAATACATTCTAAAGCTAATAAAACACAAATATTTGATTAATAACCTGAAAACTATTAAGAATGAAGCAAAAGATCTCCAAGTATTCCAAAATAATAAATGAACATTCAAAAATATAAATGAACATCCTTAAGTTTTAAAACATTAAGATTTTAAAGATAACCAAACTCATGTTCCTGACATCTATCTGCATTTATCAAAATTAAGCTGCCAAATACATCAGTCTGGGATCTTAAGGTACGCTTCTTGCTTCTTATGCATCTCTGCAAGTACCAGACTTCATCTAAATTGAGCTCTCCATTAGATGTAGGCAGACTCATTAGCCAAGCTGTAATGCAAATAACTTGAAACAAGAATGCAATATGTAGACTCTAATTAATATTGCTCCCACTGTTCAGATCCTTCTCAAGAAACAGCACAGTCTTACCAAGCACCTACTATCAATCCACCGATATACTGCCAATATTCTGAACTCCTTCCCATAGTTGTCATGCTTTACCATGTACCTCATTTGAACTTGTGATAACAGAGGGTGGATCAAGAATCAGAGGATGAATTCACATTTTTCCTCCCTCTTTCTTCACTTCCCTTATTAAAACAAGCAATCAGGATATTTTTTTCTACCAGAAAATCACAAGCACTATAGATTCCCTTTGCCAGAAACAATGGTAGCGTTATCTGCTACGGGAATGCATTCTAGAAGATGAAAGAAAATCATCACATTTGTTTCTTCAAAATAAAGGGGGGGTTATTAAATACAGATCAAATACCAACTGGTAACACTACACTGTGTTTTGGTAAATTCTAACACAATCCTGAAATGTCCTGAGCACCCTCAGCTCTTGCAGGATTTTGCATGGTCAAGTTCATCGATGGCATTTCTACATGAACATAAGATAAGAAAGAGACGACAGTTTCAGACCCAATACTACTTTTAAACACCAATCCATAGGGGTTATGTAGCCCAAAAGGCTACCCAGTAGTATCCCATTTCTCCTACAGGTAATCAAATAGCTTCAGCTACTCTCTCCATTCCCAAGTCACAAATGTACTTTTTTGCACTCCTGTCACCTTTGTCAGCTTCTTCATCTTAACTCTGTATTCTACCTATCAACGGTCTGACAATTCTTTTCCCTTGTCTATCCCTCCCTCCCACAGCATGGAAACTCTGTTTCTTCTGCTAACACTCACAAAACCAAAACAAAACAGACATTCATTTAGTCCTTCCACCACAAAAAAAAAAACAAACAAAAAACCCACAAACAGGTAAAACAGCTTCTTCCTTTCAATTCCTTCCCTTTTTCTTATTTCCCCATGCATTCAAAAAAGGTCTCTCTCTTACACACGATTATAAAATCCACCTGAATCTCTCTGAAAGCTTTTCTACACCAGGTTCAATCCTCCAACATAACTTCAAAGCCTTTCACAATTTGGCTAGTCTGTCTTCTTGCACCATCACTGATTGCTAGCAGGTTAGAGAAGACAAAAATGCTAGTTTCAGCACATTCACCTATCATCATGCTTCCCTCACTTTGGCTGGGGTACCCCTCAGAAACCAGCTTGCCGAATTTGATTTGGATAACCTTTTATTCATTTATTTGAATGCAAACAAGTTCTCTTCCCCACATTGCAATCCACAAAAAAAGGTTTTCCATTCTTAATATACTTGGAGCCTTGAGGCACCATTATCTCATGTTGAGAGAGATAGTAGGCAAAGTTTTCAGGATCGAGGGTAAAATTTACATGCAGCCAGCTTTCCCTTCACTTAGCAAGAATAGAACACTGCCCTCATCTTTTTATTGAATTCCAATACACACATCCATAAAAACACATTGTGGCACTACTCTGCTGGGAAAGTCATCAAATCTTGCAATTAATTCTGTAAACAGGATTGCTGTTACCGTCTACATGAAAGGCCAGTCCCCATCCATCCCCTTCTAATATTAAAGTTCGTACAAATTAAAGCAATCCATACATTGTTTGCTTACGGTTTACAAAACTTATCCAAACTATCTTTCAGCAAGTTATTAAAAGCATTACCACTGATCACGGAAAAAAAAAACCAACAACCCAAAACCAAAACAAAACGTCACACAAAGTGAAAAAAAAAGGTCTCAGGAGACCATTAGTTTTTCACAGAAATCAAAGACAATTACAAGTGACTGATGAACTCATCAAATATTAACATGGAAGTTGAAAGGTAATAAAAGGGCAAGAGACTTGTGCATATTCAATACACAGTGAACATTCATGTAGCAATATCGTATAGCCCTGTCTTCCATCACTAAGTAATGCTAAAGTAAAGGAGAGATGTGGTGTTCATCTGGAATTAATAAAGTGAGTAGTGTCTAGCTCTCTTATCATTGCTTAATACTGGAAAGTAATCTGTCATTAATTTAAGATTTGTAATGCAATGTAATGCTATTGGGGAGAAAAATACCCATGTGTACAAAGCACTTGAAATCTAAAGTAAATGTATCTTTTAAGATATTAGTGTAAGTTGAATTTAATTTGATGCACTCTATAATTACAAAATGTATCCCTCAAGGCAACTTCCAGTGAAAGGGAAATATAGCTCATCCTCCTTATTATGTTTTTTATGCCATCACTGCAATGATCAAAATCAAGAACACTGAAATTCGTAAAAATGCTAAATACGGAGATTTAATTTAAATACTATAGAACAATTGCATCAAGAAGCGAGTGGCCAGCAGGTTGAGGGAGGTCATCCTCCCCCTCTAGTCTGCCCTGCTGAGGCTGTACCTGCAGTACTGTGTCCAGTTCTGGACTCCCCGCTTCAAGAAGGACAGGGAACTACTGGAGAGGGTCCAGCAAAGGGCTATGAAGATGATTAGGAGATTGGAGCATCTTTCTTATGAGGAAAGGCTGAGGGACTTTTTAGTCTGGAGAAGAAAGGACTGAGGGGGGATCTTATCCTTGCTTATAAATACTTAAAGGGAGGGTGCCAGAAAGATGGGACCAGTCTTTTTTCAGTGGTGCCCAGTGATAGGACAAGAGGCAACGGGCACAAACTTGAACATAGGAAGTTCCATCTTAACATGAGGAGGAACTTCTTTACTTTGAGGGTGGCAGAGCACTGGAACAGGCTGCCCAGAGAGGTGGTGGAGTCTCCCACTCTGGAGACATTGAAGACCCGCCTGGATGCCGTCCTGTGCAACCTGTTGTAGGTGACCCTGCTCTGGCAGGGGGGTTGGACTAGATGATCTCCAGAGGTCCCTTTCAACCCTGACCATTCTGTGATTCTGCGTAATTGAAGACAGTAAGTGTGAACTTTGGTAGCTAATCAACTACAACTTATTGAAAAGAGTACATCTATGGAAATATAGTGACAATGAAGGCTTTCAATGTCCATCTCAATGTGACTAATAACAGATTACATTTAAACAAATTTAAGTTATCCAAAACATAACTACGGGTTTTCAACAATAATTTTCTTTCAGACTGCTAATTTGTTTTCTGTAGAAAATGGCTGTAAAATTGTTGAAGGCAATACCTATAACCAGCACAATTAACCACAAAAATACAGGAGACAAGTCTGAAGAATTCACTGTAAAAGAAAGATCCGGGGTCTAAAGATATCTTATTTTATTTAGAGGACTACTTAAGAATTGTAGTAAATTATCAATAAATTGGATAGTATCTTTAATACACTTACATTGGATTTTTCACATGAATAACTAACTGGGAAAAATTCCAAATATGCCATATCCCAAATGATTATAGAAAAGTTTACATTACACTTGCTTTGGTAGAAATATTTAATTAAGAGTTACAATAATTTTATATATTTCTGAAGACACTAACTCTGATGCAATGAAATCCTAAAAGTAACAGAAGGAGGGGAGGATGTCCCCTTTCTTAGCAAAAGCAGCCTAAGTCCTCACTCCTTCCAGCTTGAGGCAAGATTTGTGAGAGAGCATTTGAGAAGCAGAATACTTCCAAATTACAGCCATGGTTTAGCACAGCTCCAGAAGAGCCCAAGGAAAGACAGATTCTAAGTAACAGATAAGAGTTTGGAGTCAGGCAAAATGTAGATAGTGTGCTGTATGTTAGTTTTCATAGGTTTAAAGCCAGTAACACACCCCTATGCTTTTTTTGGAATCGGCTTGTTTTCATCTTTAAACACGGTCACTGTTAAAAACGCACAGATGACAGGTGATAATCACAGAGTACACCGTTTCTCTGGATCCGCTCAATTCATATCCGAATACTGTGCATAGGCTGCCCAGCATGCAAGCATGCTGCCAAACTAAAGGTACGTTTAGGAATCCTGAGAATTAAGGTGTTTTCTGCTAGGGTCAGGGTCAATTTTAGGCTCATTGTTGTGCAAAACAAAGTATTGGGAAAGGATCTCTTATCAAGGTCACAAACTAGAGAACTTCGGAAAAGAGGCCAACTATATATACAGAGTAGCACCTGTGAAGTTAAAGAAATGCACTCTAAGTTGACTGGGGAATAGGATTCAAACATAAGCAACTTATCTTGGTTGAATTTGAGGAAAAGTGAGGTGGAAGAGGAAAAGAATCCAAGATTATTTACTTTAAGCTGGACACAGTCATGGAACTTTTTATAAGCTACGAGAGAGCACATTATCGCGCGTGCTTTATTCATAATTTCTTACCCAAGATTCATGGTACAAAACCGTGAGGAGGTGTATGCCATAATCATAGTTCTGCCTTCTTAGCGGACACCTGAAAATTCAAAAACAAGGGTAGTCTTTCTGAAATCAAGCCACTCTAATATCCTTTTGAATAAAACATTAAACTTGCCATCAAAATTTCTAATTTGTAATGTAGGAAATCTTCGGGAAATGGGTATTTGATTCACACACATTTCAGAATTACACACAAACAAGAATAACATCATGAAAGCATGAATATTAAGAACATTGGAGAATCAGCACCTGCAAGTCAGGAGGAAACTATACATAATGCAAGAATTTACAGATCTTTGGGAAACATTAAAAACTTTTCTGCCATCCGTGCCAAAGTGGCATCCAATGTACTTTAGTCTGAACTTGCTTAAAACCTTATTTTATTTTTTTTCCCCAAACCTAAAGAAAGGATGATGATTGGTGAAAACAGCCATGAAATACAGTGTATAAGAGAAGATCTAGCCAACAATTTAACAAGAAAAGTTTATGTCAATATGGCTGTAAGTCAAAACATGATCACAAGTAAAATTTGTTGGGATAAGGCACAGTCCTGCAAAAACAGTTTATTTCTTAAAACCTGTCATCAAAACCTTCTGCTAAGAATTTAATGACATTAAACCCTTCCTCGTACTGATCACCCACAACCTCCTGTCTATTTCTCATGCTCAACTCTTCCTGCAGGCTCCTTCACCACCCTTTTTGACGCAGAACAAATTGAATCATGCGAGACTACATCTCGGACACTCTAAAAACACTCATCTGAATGACTATGGACTGTGACTATTTCAGCAAATAAAGTTTAAAAAAGACTCAAGCTTCTGACTTGTATTTCTTCCATAGTCAAAGAGCCTCAGTTTAAAAGTAATCTAAATACCAGCCTGGCAAATCCTGTATTAAAGAAATGGATGTCACTCAGAGCGAAGGCCTTAGAATTTACTAAAAAGAAAATGAAATATCAACAGGGACATTAAAAGTGTATTCTGGAACACAGCATGACGCAATTCACAGATGCTCTAGAAGGTAAGCTCCTTTCAGCTATCCTAACGTTTTAGCCACAAAGAAATCTTGCTAGGAAAATGTAAACTGTTGGTAGCGCAAGTGGTCCCAGTAAACCACCCCGATCTTCCAAGAAGAGATATGCACAATTTTATTTTCCTACCACTGAAAGCAGCTGTGAATTAAAGTGTATTGTGAGTTTAGGAATACATATGTATTTTCTAAAACTCTTCAGAATTCAACACAGAAAACATGTTTCTCCCATGCAGCCTTCTGAACATAACTGTAAATAACTAAAGAGATTTATCTAGAACATTAAAACATTGAGAAATGTCTGGACATGGATGTCCCAATTTTTCTTGCCTGAAACTCTTCAAGTCATTGTTTAACAGAACCTGTTTGGGAAACATGACAATGACTTTAAAATAACAATTGAGACTTCTAAATACAGAGCTTCAATAACTAGCAATATTTAACAAGAATTAGATTTGACCTTATGCAATTTGTCCATTACAGTTTTAACAGTTAACTACAGGAGTCCTGGTATGTTTATCTTAAAGTCATATTTTCGCCTTAAAACTACAATAATTTACTAAGACATTAATTGATATTACTGGAAGACACACAGCCCTTTCTATACTGTGACCATTGCTACAGGCATTTTTTTTCCTTCTTGTAACTGTACCTGTCTGTTGTAATGTTGAGCACATCTGTATCCTTACAGTACCGTTCTCCTACCAGTTTAATGAGCTTCTTCTTTGCATGGTCATCCAAATTCAGGTTGGAAAGTTTAACCTTGAAGTACAAGAGAAAACACCTTTAATTACTTCGATAAATCCAATCTCTGCACCCTGAAAATATTTTGAGATAGGCACATTTTTTAACAAGAATTAAAAAGATAGCTGTTAAATATGCATTTGCAGAGTTTCTTCTCATTGTCTCACATGTCAGAAGTGTTAATACAGGGAAGTATAACCTCAATATTCAAAGAATAAATTTATTTTCATACAAATACCAGAGGGGCTGAGGAAGAATATTTCTACTCAAACTTTTTTCACAAGAAAAAAAGAGTTGTCAGTTTAGTTTGTGGCTGTATTTCATATTCACATGTACAAAACACCTGCAGCTGGATCTGGTACTGGCACTACATGCTTCCAACAACAAAAGATCTTTTCTTATGTTACCCTAATGTGAAAAATAAGATAAAATTCAGAATGTCTTCTAAGTAAGAATGTTCCAGTGAGAATATGCAGCAGGACTTCAGGAATTCTGTAAAGCTGCCTAAGTCACTGCTTAGTATTTTTAAAATTCACTAAAGATATTAAGCATTAATATAAATCAAAGATTTATCAAATTTTACATATTAACACCATTCTCCATTTCGTCTTCACATGCATAAACTGACTTGCAAGGTTTCTGTCATAAGGATGTAGATATAGATATAGAATTCAATTAATTAATCTTAAGTTTGGAGCAATTATCAGACATTGCTATTAAGAATTTTGGCACATTTTGTTTTTTCCTTTTTCCACCCACTGTTAACAATGGGATGGATATTTCGTAATTCAAAACTTGTAAAATAAACAAAAATCTTGTGGAAATCTGCAACTGAAAGGTTTATATCATAATTAGCACTAGTAAGTAAGCACTATCCATCCTTCATAAGAATGCATTCTGACCATCAATGGTGTTAAAGTGGATGAAGTTGTTAAGACATGCTGTATGAATAATGAAAGGGTGAAATACGTTACAGGTATGTTGTAATTTGAAACAAATAGATGAAAGCTTTGCCTCCACCTGTCTAGAAGAGGCAAGGGAATCTTTGGCAGCAGGCTGGCCAGCTTGGTGAGGTGGGCATTAAACAGAAGGACTCAGGGAGTGGGGTCCAAAATAGCAATGATCACGCCATCGCATCCCACTGGGGAATAAGGCAGACCAACCAGAGCAGTGACAAAAGTTCCTTAGCTCACTCCCAAGATGAGAACCAGAAGGCCAACCACCTCAAGGGTGTGTGTGGCTATGATGGATCCTCTTGCACTCCTCCAGGGAAACCTGCATGCTCGATTACCTCTCTGAAATGCCTGTACACCAACGCACACAGCATGGGGAATAAGCAGGAAGAACACAGAGATCTGTGCGCGGTCACAGGGCCATCATCTCATTGCAATTACAGAGCCATCGTGGGATAGCTCATGTGACTGGAATGCCGTCATGGATGGCTGTGTACTTTTTAGGAAAGACAGGCCAGTGGGGCGAGGTGGTGGAGTTGTTGTCTATGCAAGAGAGCATCTGGAATGTATCAAGCTCTGCCTAGGTGTGGATGAAGAACATGTTGAGATCTTATGGGTAAGAATTAAGGGGCAGGCTAATATGGGTGACACTGTTGTGGGTATTTACTACAGACCACTGGATCAGGAAGAGGAAGTTGATGAGGCCTTCTACAGACAGAAATAGCCTCACGATCACCAGGCCCTGGTTCTCATGGGAGACTTCAACCACCTTGATATTTGCTGGAAGGTAAGACAGCCAGGCACACACAGTCCAGGAGGTTTCTGCAGAGCACTGATGATAACTTTTGACACATGTGGTGGAGGAACCAATGAGGGGGGTGTGCTGCTGGACCTTGCGCTATCAAACAAAGGAGTAGTTGGGGATTTGGAGGTTTAGGGTAGCCTTGGCTGCAGTGACTATAAGATGGTGGAGTTCAGGATCCTGCATGGAAAAAGCAGGGCAAAAAATACGATTACAACCCTGGACTTCAGCAGAGCTGACTTTGGCCTCTTCAAAGAACTATTTGGAGGAATTCCACGGGTTAGGGCTCTAGAAGGTAGGGGGGTCCAAAAGAGCTGGATAATATTCAAGCACCACTTCTTTCAAGCTCAAGATTGGTTTCTATAAGTAAGAAATCAAGCAAAGGAGGCAGGAGACCTGCATGGATGAGCAAGGAGATTCTACAAAGAAGGAAGTTTACCACATGTGGAAAAAAGGACTGGCCACTTGAGAGCAATATAGGAACGTTGTCACAGTATGCAGAGATGCAACGAGGAAGGCTAAGGCACACTTGGAACTAAATCTGGCAAGGGATGTGAAGGACAACAAGAAGGGCTTATTCAAGTACCTCGGTAGCAAAAGGAAGACTATGGAAAATGTGGGCCCACTGCTGAATGACCTGGGTGCCCCGGTCATGAAAAATGCAGAGAAGATGGAGTTACTGAATGCCGCCTTTGCTTCAGTCTTTACTGCTAAGGCCGGTCCCCAAGAATCACAGACACTGGAGATAAGAGAGAGAGTCTGGAGTAAGGAAGACTTTCCCTTGGTCAAGGACAATCAGGTTAGAGATCATTTAGGCAAACCTGACACCCACAAATCCATGGACCCCAATGGGATGCACCCACGAGTGCTAAGGGAGCTGGCGGATGTTATCGCAAAACCACTCTCATGGGAGAGAGTTCTCATGGAGAATGGGAGAGGTGCCTGAGGACTGGAGGAAAGCCAGTGTCACGCTGGTCTTCAAAAAGGGCAAGAAAGAAGATGTGGGAAACTACAGGACAGCCAGCCTCACCTCCATCCCTGGAAAGGTGATGGAACAGCTCATCCTGGATGTCATCTCCAGCATGTGGAGGAAAACAAGGTTATTGGGAGCAATCAACATCGATTCACCAAGTGGAAATCATGCTTGACCAATCTGATAGCCTTCTATGATGGCATGACTGGCTGGGTAGATGAGGGGAGAGCAGCGGATGTTGTCTACCTCAACTTCAGCAAGGCTTTTGACACTGTCTCCCTCAACAGCCTCACAGGTAAGCTCAGCAAGTGTGGGTTAGAAGAGTAGACAGTGAGGTGGATCGGGAACTGGCTGCAGGGCAGAGCTCAGAGGGCTCTGATCAGCAGCGCAGAGTCTAGTTGGAGGCCTATAACTACAGGTGTTCCCCAGGGCTCAGTACTGGGTCCAGCATTGTTCAACATATCGATCAATGACATGGATGAGGGGACAAAGTGTGCCCTTAGCAAGTTTGCTGATGATACAAAACTGGGAGGAGTGGCTGACGCACCAGAAGGCTGTGCTGCCGTTCTGTGAGACCTGGACAGGCTAGAGAGCTGGGTGAAGAGGAACCTAACAAAATTCAACAAGGGCAAGTGTAGGGCCCTGCACCTGGGGAGGAATAACACCATACACGGGCACAGGTTAGGGGCTGACCTGCTGGAAACAGCTCTGTGAAAAGGGACCTGGGAGTCCTGGTGGACAAGCTGACCATGAGCCAGCAATGTGCCCTTGTGGCCAAGAAGGCCAATGGTATCCTGGGGTGCATTAAAAAGAGCGTGGCCAGCAGGCTGAGGGAGGTTATCCTCCTCCTTTACTCTGTCCTGGTGAGGCCGCATCTGGACTCCTGTGTCCAGTTCTGGGCTCCCCTGTACAAGAAGGACAGGGAACTGCTGGAGAGAGTCCAGCAGAGGGCTACAAAGACAATCAAAGGAATGGAGCACCTCTCTCTTGAGGAAAGGCTGAGAGACCTGGGTCTGTTTAGCCCACAGAAGAGAAGACGGAGAGGGGATCTCATCAATGCTTATGAATATCTGAAGGGCGCGTGTCAAGAGTCTCTTCTGTGGTGACCAGCAACAGGACAAGGGGCAACAGGCACAAGCTGGAACACAGGAAATTCCATCTCAACACAAGGAAAAATTTCTTTACTTTGAGGGTGGCAGAGCACTGGACTAGGCTGCCCAGAGAGGTTGTGGAGTCTTCTTCTCTGGAGATATTCAAAACCTGCCTGGATGCAGGTGAACCTGCTTTGGCCAGGGATTGGACTAGATGATCTCCAGAAGTACCTTCCAATCCCTACCCTTCTGTGATTCTGTGATAGAGAAAGCTGCTTTTAGCTATCTGATTATACAATAGCAAATAATAAGACTGTGAACCTTAACAGTCTAAACATATATGGTGTTAGAAATTCAAGTTCCTATTAAGTGAGAGTTGCTGAGGAATATTAAAAACATGAAGACATAATAGTAGTCTCTTACTAATTTGTCCATTGTTTTTTTTCTCAATATTCTTTCTACTGTGTCATCAATGTACTACAGAAATGTTCAAAAAAAATAAAAATCAAGAAACCTGCCTCAGAAAAACTAACAAAAGTTGAAGGACTAAAAGAAACTAGAAGTTCCAGTAAATATCACGGGAAAAAAAGTACTACCTGAAAAGAAAAAACCCTACTACTAAAAATAGAAAACTGAAGTACTAAATATAGATATAAGAAGGGAGGAGACAACAGGGTTTCTATACTGAAACTTCTAATTTTGAAAAAAACTCTAACTACTAACCTCACTACTCCGTGGATTATATGTAAAAATGTCTCCTTTTTAAGGAATTACACGCTTATGTACTATGCACGCCTGTAATACTGGTGAGCAGGAGTTCACCTAGCTTTGTTCCCTAGCTCATGTTTTGTCAAGTCTAATTCAAAGAGACTTATTAGGTGCATCCATTCTTTAAGGCAATGGTGAAGCTGCAAAAAAGAGCTCTATTCTTAGCGTGGCCTAATATGACCATGAACAATCACTTTTGAAGGCACTGTAATTCCAAGGTCCCTATGCACACAACAACCCCTTTTAAGGGTCTGGCAGCCTGCGCTCAAGGCTACCTTGCATACAGTGCCCTTCCATGCATTGCAGTCACATAGCCTTGAATCAGTGGTGACAAAAAAAGAAGCTATGAGAAGGTGGGCGTACCCCAGCTTTACTGAGAAGCTGCATCTAAGCTGAGGCACTCAGCCTTGGTCTCTGCCTCAGCCACCGCGTAGCTGTGGCCCACACTGACCCAACCCTGATGCACATCCCTGACTTCCTGGTTTGACCTCACCTACTGCATCGCTATGGCTTGGCTTGACAGTCACCAGACTGTTGACTGATCCTAGTTACTGTCACCAGACCTAATCCTGATCCCCTGACTTGTCTTCCCCCTTCGACCTCATACTTGCTTTATCATTACGAACTTTTCAGGTGATTAATGTACTGTTGTAGGGACGAGGTTACTATTACCAGACCAGCCCTGCTCACCTTCCTCAGGTAGTAGCTGCACCTTTTTTGGGGTGGCCACTGTCCCTGCCTGCCTTACTGCCCCTGGACCATCTGCCCTGACAGAACAGCCTACCCTCACTGCCACCTGGCAATGCTCACCCAAATTGATGAGAAACACGTTTTTGCAAAACACATTGCTCTGAACTCTAAAGGGTTTCAGACACGACTCTCTGGCAAGCATAGAGCTGCTACTGCATGTACATACTTCATGACCACGACTATCTAAATCTACTGGGATACTCCAGCCAGCATTAGCTTGCTTTAACCAACAATGCAAAACAACTTAGTTGAGTTGTACTTTTTGCACTGTCTTAAAAGGATAGCATTATCACAGTTGTATCATGCTGCTTTCACACAGTGTGATCATCTGAAATTTACTGTTAGGAGAGCTATGATTTTATTCCACACAACTTGCTTCTCCTATAAAAACTAAAAAGTTATCTGGTCTGTTGCCTACAGTACAAGATCACAAAAAATATGTTGTTCTTACTAATCCAAATCCACTTCAAAGTGACAAATATTTACATGGCTACTTGCTTCAAAATGGGATAGCAATTGGACAGCTTATAATTGTTAGCTGGAATGCTGCAGACTACTTTATGTTGAATTTTAGAAAAGTTAGAGCTCCACAAAGAACAGCAGTTGATTTAAAAAAAAAAAAAAACCATCTAATTTTACATCCTATACTTGTCTGGCACAATGTGGACAATTCCACTTGGAAAAGACTAGGATAAATTTAATGACAAGAAATACTGGCATTAGGCTATGAGAGATGAAAAAATAGCACCTCTATTATCATACCTGGTAGAAAAAAGGCACATTTTTTAAAAACATTTAAATTTCATACAAAATTTAAAAACAGAAATCTTATCATGAAGATCCACCAGAGAGTTTATGACAGCCTGTAACACAGCACACAGTAAATGCTCTCTCATTGACACAAACTCAACCACTATCTGACCCAGCGCCATATGATTTCACCTTTAAATCCTTCTCTTCCCCCTCCCTAGGCAGATTTTGTTGTCAGAGAAACAAATATCTGTTGTCATTAATCAGAGAAAGAATTGATTAATGAAGTCTGGGATCAGAACACCAGTAGCCGAAAAAGCATATGGACCATTCCATTTTTGGTTCCATTTGTTTTACACGCCATTTGGTTTCATTTTTGTCTTACACTCCAACCCCTCCTTTTTTAAATACACATGTCTAACACACATCCACATAATGCCTTACAAGTACCAAGACCAGTTAACATTAACAGACAGATTTAGATAGGATAATACAGACATGGTTATTTGTATATCATTTTGAACTATACTCTCCACTGCACCACAGCCAAACGCTAGTCCATCACCTTGCATCTCAACAACCACATTAGAAGATATTTATATCTATCCATGGAGAAGATATTTATATCTAGTAATGTTTTACATGATTCAGAAAGCAGTAAAATTACAATACACTCACCACATGCTGGTTTTGATGGGGGGAGATTCAAGGCTGTTTGAGCAGCTGAGCTCTTTGCCCCTAGCTGCAATACCATGCCCAGCACTGACTTGCAAATGTCAGTATTAGTCCATTCGAGACAACTGAATATGGGAGCAAGGGGGTGTCCAATGTGTGCCTCCTCCACACACATTCACAACCCAGCATGAAGTCAGGAGCTTCTGCTCTCACAGATACACTCAATTTCCTTTTATTTCTAATGCCTACAATTTTGCAAAAACTTGCTCTTGACCATGGATCTGAGACAAAAGGCTGAACTCTAGTACGCAGTGACTCCAAGGGGATGGTGAAGTTACTGCTAACAGCAGTGTGAACCAGTGTGGAGGTAAGTCAATGACAGACCAAATTAAATTTCAGCCCAAAAGGTTTTCCATAAAGGGAAACATAAAGGCAAAGTGGAGACTCCTTCAGACAAAATGAGCTACTACCATTCAAAGTTGCCATGATTAGGTGTTGTATAAGTGTTATGAGCATGTGGTATCATGCAGTATTTTGCTTTCTATACTGACAGAGTAAGAACACAGCTATCACTGACGCCACTGCTGCTGCTCTTAAGATAGGCTCAAATTTCATCTCTAAAGGCATGTTCAAAAGCCACAGCACAATCCTAACTTTACTACCATTCCTGGACATCTCCAGCCCTGAAGGATGTCAAGACCCAACTGCACAAAGTCCCAAGTAACCTGGTCTGATCTCGTACCTACCTTACTTTGAGCAGAAGGTCAGACCGGAAAACTCCTGAGCTCCCTTCCAACCTCAAGTATCCCATGATCCTGTGATCAGAAGGCTGCTGCTCCTACTGCATACACACTGATGCCCGGAGGCCTGCCAACTCAATACTTATTAGTAGTGCCGCATTCATATGACCTATCTTTCCATACTTGTGCGCGTTCTCATAAATTAGCAATGAGAGAGTCTAAGCAAGACATTGAGTACAAAGGCACTTACAGCTTTTTCTATAAGTAGATTCTGCAGAAGGTACACTATTTTGTTTATATCAGAGCTTAGTCTTCATTTATAAATACATATCCATAACCTTACAACCTCAGTTTTAACACGCTGCAATACATTTAAGGAAATCCACTGCTTTTTATTCAGACATTCAGTAAACCATTTCCCTCATTTCCTTACCATATACCATACTTGTACATACTTGCACATGTTTTGAAATGAAAGCCAAGCATTTGGGTTTTTGAAACAAAGGCTGTTTACAAAAAATACTACTTACTCTTAAAGTCACCACTCTTGCTTTGGGATTACGAATAGATGTCCCAGCAGAAACATAATCTACTGTTTCAATTTCAATAGGAAAATGCTGTTCACATTTCTCATCACTGTCCAAAGCGCTTGGCCATTCAGTGCAGAAATCTGTAAAATAAAGACAAAGCACTCCAATTAATATCTGTTGGTTTGTGGGTTTTTTTTCCACATTTATTGCAACATATCTTTTATGAAGTACTATTTATAGAAACCATACTCATTTAAATAATGGCAAGGTCTCTGCCAGACTTGCTCCAGTATTTCAACGTCTTTTTTGTACTGGGTTCCCCAAAACAGGATACAGTACTCCAGATGCAGCCTCGCAATTGCCAAACAGAACCATAGAATGGTTTGGGTTGGAAGGGACCTTCAAAGATCGCCTAGTCCAACGCCCTTGCCATAGGTATGGACATCTTTCATCAGATGAGGCTGCTCAAAGCTCCATCCAACCTGACCTTGAATATATCCAATGATGGGGCATCCACAGCTCCTCTGGGGAAGCTCTTCCAGTGTCTCAGCACCCTCATCATAAAAAAAGTCTTCCTTATGTCCAATCTAAATATCTACCCTCTTCCAGTCTAAAACTGTTGCCCCTTGCCCTGTCACTACAGGCCTTGGTAAAAAGTCTCTCCCTGACTTTCTAATAAGTCCTCTTTACATAATGAAAGGCAGCAGTAAGGTCCCCCTGGAGCCTTCTCTTCTCCAGGCTGAACAACCCCAACTTTCTCAGCCTTTCTTCACAGGTGTTCCAGCTCTCTGGTCATTTGTGTGGCCCTCCTCTAACAGGTCCATATCTTTCTTGTTCTGGGGTCCCCAGTACTGGATGTAATACTCAACAGAAGGAAAAAAATTAATTTCCTGAATGTGGTGGCTACACTCTTGTTAATACAACCTGGTATGCAGTTAGCCTTCCTTGCCACAAGGGCACACTGCTGACTCACGTTCAACTTTCAAATACCCACCAGGCTCCACATGGCCTTTTCTGCAAAGCTTCTTTTTAGCTGTTTGTCCTCCTGACCCCGTGCTTGTACTACTGCATGGGTTATTCCACCCAAGATGAAGGACTTTGCAGTTGCCTTTACTTAGCTTCACAAGAGTCCTCGCAGCAGATTTTTTTCCTGCCTGTTGCCATCCCTCTGAACGGCAGCTCTGCTCTCCAGTGTAGAACTTGTTCCCCTCCCAATTCATTATTATCTGTTCAGATTATGCTCTCTACCATTATCCAGATTGTTATACAGCATGTTTTGCATGCTTGGAAATGGCTTCCAGAAAGGTTTGCTTCATAATCTTCTAGGGAATGTGATGAGGCTGACTAACCTGCAGTTCCCTGCATCTTCTTTCTTGCTCTTCTTGAAGATAGTCAGGCAAAAATCTCCTGTTCCTCCTGGGCAGTCTTTACCTACTTCTACATTCTGTGTACCTTCCTTTTTGCATCTCAGGTCACTCAGGAGTTCCCTGCACACCTATGCTGTCCTTCTGCAATACCTGCTCAACTTTTTGCCCATTGGAATGCACTATTCTTGCTCTGTTAAGGAGTTTCAACTTAAACATTCATCAGCTCTCATGGGCCACTTTGCTCCTCAGGAGAGTCTGCCGTGAGATCTGCCAAGCAGGTTCCTGAATAAACCAAAATCACTCTCCTGAAATCCAGACTGTAGTTCCACTTTCTGTCTTGCTTGCTTATCTCATGATTTTAATCACCACAGCTTCATGACCACCATTACCAAGGATGCCCCTAACCTTCACATACTTGATGAGTTCTTCCTTGTTTCTGAACAAATCCAACAGAGCATGTCTCCTAGTCAACTCAGCCATCATTTGCATTGATAAATTGCCTTCAATACACTACTTGCCTCCTCACTCCTCTCAAGATCTTAAACTACACGATCTTCTTCGGCTGCCAGCAACCTTGACATCTCCAACCAGTTCTTCCATACTTGCAAGTAGTACGTGCAGCACAGCACCTTCTATAGACAGTTTGTCCAGTATCTGCATCAAAAAACACACTCCAGACATCTCCTTAATTGCTTCCATCCCATCCTGTTACCCTTCCAGCAGATGTTGAGATGGCTGCAGTTCCCCATGAAAACCAAAGCGTGCAGCTGTGAGGCTTTTTTCAGCCGTTCATCCACTTCCTCTTCTCAACCAGGCAATCTGTGGCAGATGCCCACCAAGACATCCTTTTCAGCTTCTCCTCTGATCCCAACTCTCAAATTCTTAACCAGTTGGCTATGCATCTTATGGCAAATTTCTGCATCTGAGCTGTTCTTTTGGGTACAGGCAAGCTCCTCCTCGACATCATCCCTGCCTGTACTTAATCGTACAAGCTTTCGCTCTGCGTTTCTATGACTCCTCAGCCTTCTAATTCCTCCTGTTTCCTATGCTGCACACATTTGTATATATGCAACTTAAGATAGGCCTCTTATCTCTTATAATACAGGCTGAGGGGAGACCTTATCACTCTCTGCAACTACCTGAAAGGAGATTGTAGCAAGGTGGGTGTTGGTCTCTCTTCCCAAGTAACAAGCGACAGGACGACAGAAATGGCCTCAAGTTGTGCCAGGGGAGGTTGAGATTGGATATTACGAAAAACTTCTTCACAGAAAGGGTTGTCAAGCATTGGAACAGACTGCCCAGGGAAGTGGTTGAGTCACCATCCTCGGAGGTATTTAACAGACAGGTAGATGTGGTGCTTAGGGACACGGGTTAGTGGTGGACTTGGTAGTGTCTGGTTAATGGCTAGATTTGGTGATCTTATGGGTCTTCCAATCTAAATGACTCTATGATTCTATCTCCTTCCAGTTGCATTGGATCTCCAATTCTCTTTGGGCTACGCTCCTCATTAGGTTCTCCTTATTGGCTTGCTGGCTGGCAGAGATGCTCTTGGTCTTCATTAGACCTTGTATCTCCCCAGTAGACCTTGCTCTCAGAGGGTTACATTTATTAATAGCATTTTTTTGAAAAAATTCATGCCAGAATGACTACTGATTGAACCCTGCTTTAATCACAAATAATCTTCTGAGAACTGAGTCACATTTATCACTTACTTTCCTTAAGACACTAAACTATAAATTCTCCAGTACAACCAGTGCCCAGTGGAAAGGTAGAATTAAAGTCTTACTAGTGTGCTGAAAACCTCCTAAGATATATCATAGAATCATATTTGCCTACTACCTGTATGACTCAATGCAGCAACAAGAAAACATACAATACTAGCCAAAGCCTGACAAATAACCAGCTTCAGAGGTGGACCACGTCTCACTTTCTACTTCATCACATACAGTTACATTTCGCATTGTCTTAAAACTCCAAGAGATGGTTTTTCAAAACAGAAAAAAGAAAAAGAACAAACAAAAAAGAACCCCACACCCTCACCTTTAAGAGCTGCACAGTGTTTCTTAATTGCAGGAGGAGTCAGATGCAAAAAATTGGGAATCTGAAACAGACATATTAAGAGTTACCAAAATAATAGCTTCTTGTCTCTTCATTACTGGGGCATTACTAAAATCTGATTACACTTTTAACACGTTAAGCTAGTACAATATGCTTAATAAAACACTCAGAAGACTCTTCCAAAGTCTGATTTAGCAAAAGACTTAAGTTAGTCCCATTACAGAAGTCACAGGCATGACAATCCTAAGAAGTCTCCCAATTTGGTTCGTTTGTTACTTACATTTGTATTTGTTACCATTTAATTTAGAAACTAAATAGAGTATTATCCTATTTAATCACAGAAAACAGTACCCAATACAAATATTACAATCACAGCAGTGCAGTCACAGTGAACACTAATTTTGAAAGTTACCACAAACCCAAGGCACGTGTCTTACCTTTATAAGTTCTAAGTTGCCTTCTTTCGGTGGAGGTACTCCTCTCTTCACTGGGTAACCCATTCGAATTGGGAGAGGAACAGAGGCAGGTTTAAACGCAGCTGCTGTTGGATAAACACTGCTCCAGTCCTGATCAACAGCCATCCTCTCAGTTCTGGGAGGTACATGCTAATAAATTGAAAATTATACAAGTTTGATGGGAGATATGCTGTTTTGTGAGACAAAGCAGGAGCAACACACGCAATTTATTTCAGGAATAAATTCCACAACGAGAAATTTCAAGGTATTTTTACATCAAAAGTTAGTGCTCATTTGTAAAGGAATTTTTAAATGATAGCCTCTCAAAGCTTGGCTAGCTCACCTTTCTTAATCTTCAATTGCATTTTATTTCAGAAATACTTAGAAAGAAGAACTTATCTTCTTGCATTGTGATAAACCAGCAGGGGGAAGAAGGGGAATCAAACCAGTATTTAATTGTAAACTCTATTTCCTAAAGTACCTAAGCATTTGGTGGGGGGCAAGAAAATGAGTTTTAAAATTCTGGAATTCTGAACAAGTTTATATTAAAATAAATAAATATTAATAACTCCAAAATTACTTGCTATAGAAATTCCAGTATAGGAACAATGTATTACTATATTGCGGAAATAGCTTATATCTTCCAATAACTGACCAAGGTTTCAGTCAAATGCTCTTCAAAAGAAAAAAAAAAAAAAAGAAAAAAAGCAAGTCACTGTTTCTTTCCCCAAACCCTTCATTTTTAATTTAGATATAGTTATATAAGTGGATATATACAGTCAGCTGGTCTGACTGCTTTGGTGTATCATTAAATCTGCTCTCGGAAGTTAAACAAAAATTTGATACAATCCAGGTTCACTTCTACTATTTGCCTTTAAAAATCCTAACACATAATATGCTATTTTGAAATTTATGTGTAGAATAAATACGAAAATTTTCAGTGATTACATGTTCAGATATCAGTTTTCATTCTACGGTGCCAAGAACAATTCACTTATGCACAGTATCAGATTTTTATCACACCAGAAAGGAACCACTACAAATCCTGTAAACTCCTATGGAAAACAACATTAAAATGACTGTTTTTCTTTTAAATCCAACTTTTAAGTTACTTTTAAGACCTGCAGTACATGGTGTCAATACAAGCTAACTGTTAGCTTGTTATTATTAATGTTTTTGCCTTATCAGAATACAGACTGAAAACAGCTGGGAGATTAAAGAAACTAGGTGCTGGTTCTGGAACAGTCACAGTGGATTGTTTAACCAGGTTTTGACTGCAGAAGGGGTTCCTGTACAAACTGTTAAGACACATAGCTTAGCAAACTTTTTCAAACACCTCTGAGTTAATTGCAAATACTTCCAGTACTTACTGATCTTATGAATTGTGGTGCCCTGCCTCTTCTCCGTGTTGAAGCTGAAAGAAAAAGAAATATTTTCAATACAAACTATTATATGGTTTTGTGGGGGGAAAAAAGCAGCACAATCCTGTATGCTTTTTTTTTCCTTTTACAAAGACAACACATACTAATACTTCCCAGTCTTTATGTAGAAGAAGAGGAAGATCAGATACTCATACTGCAGACTGCTTATTTATTTTTTGAGACTTAAGAAAAAAAAAAACCTTGGAAGCCATTTTGCCTGGCTCTATCCTAGAAACACATTAACAATAATCCAGTCGTTACATGCCTAAATGCATTTTTCTAGCATCATTTATTCCAGCCTGATGCAGGAGGAAACAAAATGAGATGAGTACACTTTTGCCTTCATTACTATGCTTCCTTTGCTCTTTCCCACATGGCTGTTAAGTCACAAATCACCCTCCACCAGCAGTACAAGACTGCTAAACCTAACAGTTCACTGTTACCAAAAGGAGAATCCCATGGCTCCATCCCATCCTTCTGACAGCAAATCTTCACACCCTGTTCTGTGCCACTCTCAAGCTCATCTAACCTCCGCATAAACAGTTAGCACATTGAACTGTTTTTCTTCTTGAGCTGGGGATGGAGAACAAACTAACGGGTTTGTTTTCCATCATTTTATCATGTTGATCTGGTTTACTGGGCAGTCCCAGAGAAGATGCAACGGAGATCTTCACTTTCTTGTCTTAATTCCCCCCCCCCCCAAACTCTAATTTAATTAATTGAGCCCCCTCTCCCCCCCCAAAAAAAACCCAACAACAAAACAACATGGTCTTTGTAACAGTCAGATAAATGAAGGTGAACCTGATGACATCTATTTTCAAGTGTCTGTTTGAGCTTGGGGGCTGGGGGGTGGGGTTGGTTTTTAATTGTTGCCATACTATGATACAGTATACAATTAGCAAAAAACAGTTTAGGAGCAGATGTTGGGGTCTTATTTGCCTCATTCATTTGTCTTACAACCCTATCCTACATAAGCCTTGAAAAAACTTCTGAATTTCACAGTTCTTTTGTTTTCTTTATCTAAGTATTTTATGGATCCAATTCTGTTTGTCCTCTTCTTACTATATAAAAACTTAAACTGAAAAATACATATTGGGCTCTGCAACAGCTAATAGACAGCATACTTTTATCCCTTGATTTACCATTTTTGTGGTGCTTTCAAAACCAGACACACTTAATTCATACCAATCTTACTATTTCTGTTACGAACATCTATAATTCCAGATCAGGACACCTTTTACTCCTGCCATCAGCTGCAATATCAGACATCACCTAAAGGCCCTCTCAGCAACTTAGCCTGCTCCTGAATCTGTGGATGACATACGTCCACCCAGCCTTTGCAAAAATGTTGGTACAACCCCGACCAACAGTCCCCATTTACACTTGGAACAGCCTGAGCAGCTCAGCTTCAGTCCAGCCGCGAAGGGATTTTAATGTGAGTACACATCCTTTAGGAAACGATGAAATTCTCATTGGGAATACCTAGACCCAGGCAAGGCATTGCCAGTCTACTGTACCACTGTAATCCCGAGCTGAAAATCCGTCCAGCAAACACCAACTTGCTCACTTCTTTCTTCAGACTATTTACAGTACTTACGCAGCTAAAATATATATCCTACACCGTAAAGTTGTTTTTTTTTTTTATTGTTACTATTATTAGTAGTAACAAAGGCTCTCCAGCAAAGGAGTTGCGACACAAAACATGTTTTTTACAGAGCCGTGAAGGGAGGAGGGACGCGGGCC